TAAACTGTGGTGCATTTTTGTTTCAGTTTGGGGTAACCAATGTAATTATCTACATTTCCAGTCGTTACGTGTAGTTATATAATTATATTGTATACTATTTATTAAAGAAAAAGCTAGACGTTACTCACCATATATATAACTAACTACAATTTGGAGTTGGAATCTGAGCGGGAATCGCTGCCACACAATATAGGAAAGCCACATTTTTATACACCTTTCCATACATTAGAAAATTAACAAGCATGGCTGCGTTTGACTGACGAGACTCATTCCTCTCACTCAATCTTAGATTTTTTTTCGGTTCGCATTCGCCAACTAGGCATTTTACTCCTCCAATAAGAATTACTTATAAAACCTACAAACAAAAATTCTCTAAGAAAGTGTAGCTTGTACATTTGGATTTTCCTTCAACACAGAATTGTGTATTTAACTATCTGCTCATAAATGAAAGCCACGATAGTCTGCGTTAATGTGGTTTTAAAAAGAATCTCACCGCGTAGGAAATTCAGCAAATAACTATCGTTAGACATTAGTATGTCTTTATAAGAAAACATGAAAAATATTCATTAATCACGTTCTAATTTGGTCACTTGTGGCTTTACTAGATAAAATGTTTGTTAGCTTTGAGCATGGCACGTTATGAAATCTATCATGTAAACCATCGTTAGACATTAGTATGTCTTTATAAGAAAACATGAAAAATATTCATTAATCACGTTCTAATTTGGTCATTTGTGGCTTTACTAGATAAAACGTTTGTTAGCTTTGAGCATGACACGTTAGACATTAGTATGTCTTTATAAGAAAACATGAAAAATATTCATTAATCACGTTCTAATTTGGTCATTTGTGGCTTTACTAGATAAAACGTTTGTTAGCTTTGAGCATGACACGTTAGACATTAGTATGTCTTTATAAGAAAACATGAAAAATATTCATTAATCACGTTCTAATTTGGTCATTTGTGGCTTTACTACATAAAACGTTTGTTAGCTTTGAGCATGACACGTTATGAAATCTATCATGTAAACCACAATATTAAAGTTCATTTTTGTTTTCCCCGGGAATTTGAACTTTTGTTCAGATAAGATAGATTAAGGAAGAGAAAGTAAGGATTAGCATGGTGTAATTACTTTTTACTATAGTTATACAAAACTATAAAAGAAGTTGAAGAAAATAATAGACTACGAGGATGAAGGGTAAATATACCTCGTTAGATTTATCAGTGAGGATTTGTTTATTTGTTAGTTTCCGACATTCTGGCGAAACTACACGACTAAACGATATACTCCCCTTGTTTTCAGCTGATAGTTTAGAGAAGACAGCTATAAAAAAAAACGAATAGTGGGATTTGACCGTCGCTCCCACGACCTCAAAGTATGAAGCATGATTTTG